TAAGGGGGAGGGAGAAGAGATTTTTTCTTTGCTCCAGAAAAACACTGTTGGGTCATATAGTATGGGTGGTATTTAGTGCTAGAGGCATTTTTATAATAATAATGTTTATGATTGGAGGAACAACAACTTTTTCCCAGGCCTTCCAATTACTTATACACACTGATACTGTAAGTCTCTGCCAAGAAAATTATGTTCTTTTCTAATATTCAATTGAAAAAGCTAATAACTAATAAGCTATTAAATATTGAAATATAACCTTCAAAAAAGGTTTGAATAGTTTATACAAGAGAGAAGAAAATTTAAAGAGAGGTAGTAGAAGCAGATAAAGGTACAGTAACTGAAGAACAGCAACATCAAGAGTTATCGCCCAGATATAATGGAACAGAGGGAACCATACAACCCATATACAGTTGAACTTGCTTAAGTCATATCCAAAATGGCATTGAAAAATTGTTTCAATTTTGACTAACAGATCATCAATTAATGAAAAACACAAGAATTTGGCATGTAAAAAAGATTGACAAAGTCGACTCAGGCAAGTTTAACTGTAAAAACACATTTTATAACACCACCGATGCTGACATTGTGTAGAGGTCTGTGACACAACATACTAAATAATTTAGGGCACAAAACAATGACGGACATATTAGAAACTATTTATCTGTACACACTATATAGGCTATAGTTGATGTGATCGTTGATGTTGACAAGATTCATCATAGAAAAATGTGAGGCTATAGGCAATGCTTGAATATGATCTTCAATGATAACAATTAGTGGTACCCTTGGCGAGTTGAGTAGAACCAAGGAGGTACTCTGTGGAACCCGGAGGTGGCAATGTGCACATAAATAAACATAATAAGGTAGCACGAAGAAATCAGATAACTAACAGATCTATACTCCTAAAACTCCATATTTTTGACATACATAAAATTCCTTGAAATTTTCCATTTTATCTTTTGTTGTTTGCCAGTTATCACCTGGGAAATTCTAACATTATAGTACTTGGTAAAAATTCTGATACAGTAGTTCCTCAGAAATAAGCCCACCCCCTACTTTTACTTACTTCCTAATTTTATGTAGGTCACTATTTCCTTGGGGAAAAGCCCAGGGTATGACTTGAATGAGTACAGAGGGATTTCCCCTGTAAACCCCAGGTAAGCCTCCCCATCTGTGCGATAGTCAGGGTGAGTTTTAGATCTGTGCCTGCTCTCTGCTTTCATTAGGATAAGACACCCCATCCCCTCTCCCACAAGCCTAACTGATCCTAAATCCCAAAAATCTCAGGCCCATTTGTGAATATATTACTATGGAGAGACCAAAATGCTTGTATGAAGTTTGGTAATTAGTCCACTTACACTTAGTCCTGTGCCTACTAGTTTATTGGTATGGGTTAAGTGACGAGTGGTTATGAACCTAGTAGTAGGTCTAGAAAATTTGTAAAATATGCCGGCCAATCAACCCCAATTTCAAAAAAATGCTGTGCTTGGGCAAAAGAGAAATTGTTTTTTGGTCTATGAATGGTTAACCAATCTGTTAGTCTATTGAAAATTTCAGTCATCGAGAACACAGTTTGGTGATAAATACTGAAAAAACACCAAATATACAAAGGTACCAGTAACCCTCAGGCTCAGTAGACAACCACACCTAGGGACAATGACCCTGTGAGGTCATCAGAGGTTAAACATCTAAAGACATACCAGTAGTTTCTTGAAAATTGTACAAGTAAATATGTTAAGGCTAGCAGTAATTGATTTTGTAAAAAGACTAGATAAATTAATGATCTGTTGTATAAAACATTAAATACGTACATTTGTGGTACAGTAAGTTAATGAACTGCTAATGATAAAACAAAATTTAGTAACACCTACTGTATATAAACCTTGAAAATATAATAATAATATAAATTAAATTAATGATAATAAGTTAACAAAATATTGTTTAATACTTAATAATCAATATTACAAGTAAGAAATTAAAAGTAACATTAAATAAACAATTTGTTGATCACTTCCAGAACTAATACTTTGGGACATGATTAATAAGACATTAAACTGTTGATCTATAGTGAAAAAATATTTTGGATTTTTAGGCAATTTTTTGAGCTCCCATATTTTATAGCATTTACTCAATACTGGCCTGTGCGACAACTTAACCATTTTGCCACGACATGCCTCATTTGTGAATATATTACTATGGAGAGACCAAAATGCTTGTATGAAGTTTGGTAATTAGTCCACTTACACTTAGTCCTGTGGCTACTAGTTTATTGGTATGGGTTAAGTGATGAGTGGTTATGAACCTAGTAGTAGGTCTAGAAAATTTGTAAAATATGCCGGCCAATCAACCCCAATTTCAAAAAAATGTTGTGCTTGGGCAAAAGAGAAATTGTTTTTTGGTCTATGAATGGTTAACCAATCTGTTAGTCTATTGAAAATTTCAGTCATCGAGAACACAGTTTGGTGATAAATACTGAAAAAACACCAAATATACAAAGGTACCAGTAACCCTCAGGCTCAGTAGACAACCACACCTAGGGACAATGACCCTGTGAGGTCATCAGAGGTTAAACATCTAAAGACATACCAGTAGTTTCTTGAAAATTGTACAAGTAAATATGTTAAGGCTAGCAGTAATTGATTTTGTAAAAAGACTAGATAAATTAATGATCTGTTGTATAAAACATTAAATACGTACATTTGTGGTACAGTAAGTTAATGAACTGCTAATGATAAAACAAAATTTAGTAACACCTACTGTATATAAACCTTGAAAATATAATAATAATATAAATTAAATTAATGATAATAAGTTAACAAAATATTGTTTAATACTTAATAATCAATATTACAGGTAAGAAATTAATGTGTTGATAATAGATACTATAAAGTTGATGATGTTAGATAAAGTTGTTTGAAGTTAATGATTTTCATGATCATACTGATGTTGTTGCTAATCATCTTGAATAATAATTATAAAATTAATAAATATTATATTAATATACAAATTTAATCTAGTAATTTATATTTTAGTGACTACATCAATTTTTCGTACAGTACCACCAATGATGCTTCAGTTCAGTTGTTGACAGTGTTATACAACTTGCTACGCTCAAGTTAAATCTAACCAATTTGAGACAGGAAAAAGTTAATTGGCA